TGGTGGAGCCTATGCCTGTCCCTGGACCTGATGTAGAAGCTTATTGTTTACGTTGTGAGTGCAAATATGAGGAGAGAAGCTCAGTCACAATTAAGGTAAGCTGTGTAATTCTGTTGGCATATATCAAAGACTTCAGCTGTTTACTAAGTATGTCTGTTGTCTTTTAGAGAAATGCTATTTTTAAAGGAAAACTGTTCTAAGGCAGCTTAAAAGGTAATTTTTTTGTAGTAATTATTCAGTCTTGAGCAGTAACAGTAGTATCAAACTTTAGCTGAAGAAGTGAACCTGAGAACTCTTTATTGAAGATCTCCACTTTTGAGATCAGACTTTACACCTTGCTAAAATTCTGAGTGTTCTAAGACATTTTGTCAAACTTTGGGCTTTGTTTTCCTTATTATTTCAGAGGGCCTCTCATTACACAGCTGCCTTACTTTCTTACTATAAATTTTCTCTATCCATGTTTGTTCTAGCAGATGTTGTCTGTGCTCTTCATATTCTTGTCCCATTGGAGCCATTGAGGCCTGAACTGCTGTGAATAGTCTGCAGAATGTCTTTTAGTTTTTGACAACACAGACTACTTTATTTTGGGATTTTAAAAGTTTGGTGGTTTGTTTTGCTTGGTGACTGAATTCGGATCTGTACTAGACCATGGGAGATCAGTGGGGGATGCCCCACCTTTGTCACTTGTTTAATGGCCAGGCTGGACAGATGTCTTGGTGAAGTGAGAGTTATAACTCTGAATTGTTTAAAGAGGCATAGCTTAAGATTCTTTGCAAGGTCTCACTGTTTCAAGCTGCCCTAACCCTTTTAATACCATGTTGTAGTTTGTTACTTTTCCTTTGTTTCTGGGTTTTAAATTACCTGGTGACAATACCAAAGATCAAACTTTGTCTGTACTCATCTTTAGGTCCTTGCTGCCTGTTGTGAGACTGGGGGGAAATGTCACAATCTTGGCATAAACTGTGCTTGCATTATGTAGGTGACAATCATCATATACCTGTCCATTTTGGGCCTGCTTCTTCTGTACATGGTGTACCTCACCCTGGTGGAGCCCATCCTGAAGAGGCGTCTCCTTGGACATTCACAGCTCATTCAAAGTGATGAAGACATTGGGGTGAGTTCACTAGAGTCTTTGTGCTCTTGGTTAGCATGAAGATTGGGATGGTTGGTTAATAACTATTTGGAGGGAGCAGCTTTTTTTTGCCAGGCAGTGTAAATGCTTTCCCTGCTGGGAGAAGAAAAGAAAGGTGTGTGATGACTTCTGTGAAGCCACTCTTTCATTTTTCACTGGGCTGGAAAGCAGTGAGAGCTGCTTCGGTTGTGTCAGCTCTAGGCACAGATTGTTTTCACAGAGAAGAAACAGTGTAGACATGGAAGAATATACAGGAGTACAGGTTTTTAAGATTTAATGATCCAGTCTTGCCAGTGATCATTTTATGGGAACTGCTTAGTTCTACAAAAATAAAGTATGGGGGTTGCATCTTGTCTTATTCCAGTTTGAGTTTCTTAATGCTAAAACTTCAAAAAGAAATTGCTATAATGAAGCAGAATAGTAATGGATGATGAAATAATTTCTTAGTATTATGGCCAGAAATGTGACAGTATATTCCAGCAGGTCAGAAGAGCTTTTTTAGGGAACAGTAGTGACATGGCTTCCTGTCATTACTGGCCTTTCCAGTCTCTAGCACTGGGTAACAATCACATATTCTGGTTGTGAAATCAGGGTACATAAAGCATAGCTGATAAAAGCTATTATCTAGGAAAATGCTAAACTTGGAATACTTGATTATCCCCTTAGCAAACAGAAACAGCTTTTAAGTAGATGGCTCATGATTGTCCCACTGTTTCTGAACTTCCTACATGCAGACATGTTTCAACTGTCTCTGTACTGGCTACGTGAGGTTTTCCCAGCATCCTCTAGGAGGATTTTGAGTTGAGTGTTGATATTTTATGTTTGTTTTTTGAAGGGAAATACTTGAATGACTCTTCCTCCGAGTGCATTCTTATAGCAAATTCAGCAGCTCCCGCTTGAATTAAGTGAGCATGTGCTGTATGCCCTATCTCAGACAAATTTATAGCTTAGATAAATTATCTTAATGCCTCCAAATGTGAGATAGTCTTTTGATTGCATGTGGAAGAAGTGAAATAAGTCCCATGGCAGAGATCAGGTTAACTGTGGAATAAATTTACCTCAAAGTCTGGGTCCATCTTAACCAGTGTTATGTTTTGTTGTAGCTGTTCTGTGAACATAACATAATTTAAGGTCCCTTATGAATTATCCCTATTCTTGCCTTCCCTCTTGCAAGTTCTTGAGATATTCTTGTCACACTTCAAAAATACCATGTCCCTGGATTTTATGGCTGAATTTCAAGGTAGTGTGTTCACTCTTTCTTGTTGCCCATTGATGACAGTGTCAGCTGATGAAATAAGCCACTTCCTTAGTCCTCTTTCCTCTTAAATGCTTTTCCCCCTTACTGTCTACATAGAAATTGACAGTATCTGGCCTTGGAGCTGAGAATCTTGTTTGTCAGGAAGGCCAGTAGCATTTAGACTGTCCTGTGTTCTCCCACCATGTGTTTTACAGTAGCAAACCATGTGTTGCTATTATGATTTTTTTTTTTCCCCTGTGAATGAAGTGACCTGTCTCCTGTTAAATGCTGATTCTAGGTATATCCAATTGTATAACTTTCTATGGTGAGGTGATAGCTCTTTTGATCAGGGATTGTCTGTTGTTCTCTATGGGAATATAGTTTTAATGCTCATTGTGTCTTTGGGACTTACAGCAATCATTTCAATAGGTATTATTAATTTTAACCTATGTACAGAATACAGTCGTCTTTGAGCTGCTCTGCACAGTCATATCACAAATAAAGTATCCATTAATGTAAAAGTCTTCAAAAGTGTTCTGGGAAAAAAAAAAAGAATGTGAAATGTAGGGATACAAAAAGACAGTTATTTAATATAGGACATAATGATGATATTTTTCATTATGCACTGTATATATGATGCTTTCTGATGTAGCTTTAACAGCATGACTTTGTCTGAACAGTTTAATAGCCAAATGAGAAGTTCAGTTCCGATGCTTACTGTTTATAACTTGGCTATATTTGCTAGCAGAAAATAAAGCCTTGCAGGTACTGTTAGAAAACAGAGAGAGTAAATGTTAAACAAGCACTCAGTTCTTGTTGAGCTCTGTCACTTAAACAGCTGTATTGACACTGTGCTTTCAGACAGCTCAGCACAATAGGCTTAGTTTGGTAAACATCAGAGTGTGTTGATTTGATATAGAAGCTGTGTGTGGACATCCTGAACTGCCTGGCAGGACATGGCCAGGAGCTGGCAGGGACCTGACCCTAATTCAGTTGTGAAGTGCATTCGCCACAGTCACGGGGGTGCCTGGGTCTGCTCTGGGCTGCAAATGGATGCAAGAGTGCTGTGATCCTGCAGCTTACCTGGCAGCAGGTAATTGACAGTACAATGAAGTGTGGTCTATTTGGGGAAGTGTCTGGGAGGTCCTGTCCGTGAATAATTAAAGTACAGTTCCAACATTTCAAAAACTTGCTTGGTCATTGTTACTGACCACTTGTTGGAACATCTCATTTACCTTAGAGGAAGACAAAACCAGAGCACCCACAAATGTAGGAATGTAATGACAGAGCAGGCGTGGAGCTGGACCTGGTGAGGAGTAACGGGGGTTTTTTGCCTTGCAGGACCACCAGCCCTTCGCCAACGCGCACGACGTGCTGGCCCGCTCGCGGAGCCGCGCCAACGTGCTCAACAAGGTGGAGTACGCCCAGCAGCGCTGGAAGCTCCAGGTGCAGGAGCAGCGCAAGTCTGTCTTCGACCGGCACGTTGTGCTGAGCTAAGGGAAGGAACTCCAGGGAGGTGGACTAGTGGAAAGAGCTGACAGAAGTCTTCCTGATCCTGCCAATTCAGAAGAGTTTTCTTGAATGATTTGTTGTTGATTTAAAAAAAAAATGAATTAAAGAAGTGTTTGAACTTTGAAGGGATGTATTGGAGTGGGAGGAGTTTAAACAGATTAGTTAACCAAAAGCTTAAATCTTTATGTTTTCAAGTGGCTTTTACTAACTAAACTGAAAAGAAAGCAAACCCTATGATACCTTGGGTTGCCACTGTGGTACATTATTTACAGTTGTGACTTTATGGTGGTTTTTAACTATATATTTCTCTCTCCTATTTATGTGGTTAAAAAGTACCTGGGAACACAGTAATAACTTACAACTCACTAATCACTTTATGTAAAGACCTTTTGTAAATATACTTGGATTTTCTGCTGATTGATGCTAGGTACTGGAAATCAAAGTCTTGCAGTGTAGTTTTGGTCTCAGAGAATGAAACCCTGCTGGCTGTGTTCATTTGGTTCCTTGCACTCGTACTTTCAAGATGCTTGTATGGCAAGTGATGTCTGCAGACTTAAGTGGACACTGGCTCCTGGAGCTGCATATTTCAAGTACTGTGATGTAGATAAATTCGAATGCAGTGCACATTCAAGACAGTGTTGAGATTTTGTTCTATTTTGCTTTAACAGCTTAGTATATTGTAGGTGTATGATAGCTCTTATAAAATCTTTCCCTCTCTTTTCATGGGTAAAGTCTCAGGAGTTAGCATATGATGAAATATTTATTATAAAAATCTTTCTGCATTTGTCTGGATTGATGGTGTAAGGCACATACTTTCTCTAGCACCTGTCATCTTGGGAGTTAGGTGTATTTTTTTATCTGTGACTCTGTATTCATCTCTCTTCAGAGGTTATACAGTTGCTGGATGACTAACTTTCATATATCCCCTTTGGAATGTAACAATTAAAGATAAAACTGATTTTTGAAAAATGGATCTGCATTATCAGTTTGTCATCATTTTTCTCCCTCATTATGCTGCATGTAAATTCCATCTATAAAAGTACTCCTCTAAATATGCTGCAGAGTAGAAATATGTACTTGTTCAGTGATTAGGTAAAGAAAGGCTCATCAAATTGTTAATTGAAAGACGTTTTTAATCCCTGACTCAGATGTAGCTGTGCATATGTAGTTGCATTATTGTGTGACAGTTTTCAGTTTAGTGTGGAAGGAGAATGGAAGAATACTCTGTTTCTGGGGGCAGCTTTAGCTTGCTTAGTCTGTGCCTGGGGGACAGCCAGGAACAGAGCTTTGTTTTCATGTCAGTCCTGTAGACTTCCAAAACTGAGTTAACCTGGAGGGATTTAAAGCAGGTGGTGAATTGGTGGATTCACAGGATTTGTGCTTTAAATTGAAAAAAAATTGCACAAGGATTGACAGGTCAAGAAAAATAAATTCAGGCTTGGGTTCAGTTTTTGTGTTGAACATCACCCCGATGAGTGGGAAGTTGTTCAGTTGGTGCTGTTTGGTTACTGGTTATGACACTTACAGTCTACTAAAGAAAAAGAATGCAGCTTTTTTGTGGAATACATGCCTTGATTGTTGAATATCCCAGTTCTGGGAGTTGTTCTACCTCTTGGCTGCCTTTCCTGTGAGGCCTGAAGCTGGTGTGGGAGGGGGAATGTTGGATGCAGCACTATGGCTCACACAGGGGCAGCAGAAGGTGAAGCTTTCTTTCCTTGATGGGTGACAGTCACAAGAAGCAGGACTGAATGTATGTACATCTTTTGCTAGTAAAAGTGTTTCTGATCTTACAGTTTTTAGCTAAACTGGTTTGGGTTTGGATTTTTATGCATGGTTATACTAGAAGTGCCAAACCATGAGCTAGCCCTAAGTGTCAATCCTATAAAATGAGGGAATTTTGAAGATAGGTGTTCTATTTTATTGCACCTGTACAATTGGATAGCTGTATGCTGATGTATGTTGCATCTATGTACATGTACACATTGCATTATAGATTCCATACTGTTTCCCTTTCTAAGCAAAACTTCTGTTGCTACTGTTGGCTCCCTGTTTTCAAATCTTCTCTTATATATATTCACCTTTTATATTATGTTACACTAAACACTAAAAGAATTTCCCAAAATTACAGGTATAATGATTAAACTTAAAGGCATTAAGCTGACTAATTATGTGTGTCCTCACCTGTAGTGGAGAGAAATCCATCACAAATTTCTAAATAAATGCTGTTTTTCTGTGTTTAAAATGAAGCTGTGGAAATTAGATTGCTTATGCCTTGATGGTGAATATTTACCTAAATTCTAGCTAATTGTTCTATTTAGATATTAGAGTACAAAATGCCAATAAATGAAAACACTGCTTTCTGTTATCATTACTGTACTGTAGTAGTCTGCAACAGAAGGCAAACAGGAAGTGAACAAACCACATTCCTGATTACTTTTTCAGGTAATCTGGATGTGTTCAATAGCAGTTTCAAAATTTCTAGCCCTTAATGCCAAGTTTTGTTGCCATCATAGCTGTGCTGTGGGTGGAAAAGCCCAACCAGAAATGAGCAGATCTAACTGTAAGCTACTTTGCATGTTGTCAATTGACTATAAATTGCAGCAGTCATTGACTCAGTGGAACAAGCTACATAATTCAGGTAAGAGACTTGCATATTTGCTGTATCTAGCCACAGATCTTCACTGAATATCAATGTTCTTGTAAATCACTTATACCAGCCATTTACTAACAGTGTTTTCATAGCTTTTTAATGAATTCTGTTTAATGTAATCTCTTATTTAATAAAGTGTAAGAAAAATGGAACATTAACATCTTTTATTTTAAATATCATTCAGGTATTTTCAGGTATTCATCACTCTTTAAACAGCATATCTTATTTCCCTGGATTTTACTTTCGTCTGAAGATTGGTAAGTCTCTAACAGGAAAATGTTCCTAACACCTTTGTGCAGGTGTTGAGGCAGCAGGTAACTGTTTTATGTACCATTGTTACACAGCAGAAATGTCAGTACTAAGCAACATATACTGCAAGTATCTCTTCTTGAGGGGTTGTGTTGTGTTGGTTTTGCTTTCTTGCTCTGGTGTGATGTTGTGCCATACTTTTTTTTTTTTTTTTGCTATGTGGCAGACTTTTCTTCCTCAGTGTTTTTAAGTTGTTAACAGCAGAATGTTTTTAGGCAATAAGCTAACCTTTATAAATAGAAAAGGGAAAGTTGACTGTCTTATTATTTTCATTTTATGAGGAGTGTATATTCACATATGTAAAAATATGTGAGTTTTTTTCATGCATATTAACATGAAATGGATGTGTGTTCATGCTTTTAGTCTATCTACAGAAGTACCTGTTTAAGATGCATGGGAATCCCACTCATGCCTAACAACTATAAATGAATTCTTCACTCACAGGATTTCTGTTGTGAAATCTGTGTGCATTAGAAAAAGAGACAACTCTGCATACAGAGACATTTTCACAGAATGTTGTGAGAACAGGTCCATAACAAGTAAATATTCTCTGTGTAAATGTGGCAGGTATGAAGTCATTAGAAAACATTACATTATCCCCATATCCTTGTGAAGGATTTGTGCTATGGAGTTGTGATTGGACCATCTGAAGTTTTGTCAGATTTCTGTGAGTATGGAATCCGACACTTTCTGGTAATCTAGTTTAATGTTCAGGTGTGGTTTCCATTTTAGAGGATGCAATAGAATATAAGTGCTTTGGACAACAATATATGGATGTACAAGTGGATGGTGAGTAAGAGCATTTTTGGATCAATTCTGTGTAGGCAAGTATTGGTTGCAATCTGTGAGGGTGGCTCACAATGATTCTTTAAAAATTAGATGCTTATTTAAAATGTATTTAAAGAAGCTATTAGGTAACAGTTATTACGTTCTTAGCAGTTAGGCTGATGTTTAGCTGTTTGAATAATGATATTGGGAGGGCCCATATAAACCAGAAGCTGGTTTATATGCAGCTTCTTATAAACCACTGCAAGAGTATCTTCGTGATAAATGTGTCAGGGTGATTTGAGTAGTTAGACCTGCTGTAATGCTGCTCTGAAGAGACGGTGTGAGGGTAGGCCAGTCTGACTTACAGGTTTCCAATAGGGCCCCAACTGCTGTGTGCCATCCCTTCTTTATATTACTAGGACATGCATTTTTCCTTTAATAAAGTGTTTATTTCATAAATATGAAGTATTTAATATTTAATTTCTAGCAGTAGGATTGTTTTTAGTATTTCATGTCTGTGTTTAATCTCTAGGTAGGTGGAGAAGGAATGTGAGGACCCAAGGAGGTCTTAGATTTAGTGGAAATTCTCTCAACTCTCTGAACTTCTTGTAAATCTCTGTATGAGTGGATGTAATACCTGACAGAAGTGGAATTAGGATTGAAATCCATTTTCTGCACAGGTTTTCCATTTTGTTGAGGTGCTATATTGAATGCAACATAAGTGAATAGAGAAAAATAATTTTGTCTTTGCAGGCTCTTTGGTATGAATAGGGAGTCTTTTACTGGAATTGTAGATTTAGTTTTTTTCAGGGAGGGGAAGGGAGTGGGGAGAATGCCTCAGATGGCAGATTGGCCTGCTTTATTTGTTGTCTGTAGACATGTAAGTTTAGGTGGATTTGGAGCAAGCTAGACCTATGTGGAATATATATGGGTAGAGTCTCTTAATTTCTAAAGCTGAGGTGAAAGGAGGCTGCTTGCTCTTTCCTCTAGGAAACTTGAGTGGCTTTATATTAGTATCTATTGTGTATGAATTTAATCAGTGTGGCTGACTTGCACTTTCTTGTACTTTTCAAATGGGATGTATTGTTCTATGTGATCTTCCAACACCATTATGAAATGTCAGGAATGCATTAAAAAAATCTCTTCTGGAAAATGCCAGCAAGGCCTAGAGTTGGTAAGTCCAGGTGAGTTTTTTATACTGTTCAGTATGAGTTGTTTAAAGTATTCTGTAATTATGTGTTTCCAGGCTAAATGCAGAACCTGATGGATGGCAAAAGCTACTGCAACCTCATCTGTGCTGAGGCTCAGCACATCCAGTTGGCAAGGCCTTTCTGTGCAGACCCACTGGTCACGTTTCATGTGTACCCAGAAGCACCAAACCAGGTCCCTTTGGCCGAAGATTTGTCATTCCTTCCTTTCATGTCGGAGCATCTCATCACGGAGACCTTCTACAGCGAGCCCTGCCCCTTTCCCTACCAAATGCCCCATTCCAGTCTCCACAAAAGTGAGTACTCCTATGGGTCAGCTTTCATCAGGAAGAGGAATGAGAGGGAAAGGCAGCGTGTTAAGTGTGTCAATGAAGGCTATGCCAAGCTGAGGCACCACCTGCCCAAGGAGTACCTGGAGAAACGGCTCAGCAAAGTGGAGACCCTCCGTGCTGCTATCAAATACATCAGGTATCTACAGTCTGTGCTGTGCACCGACTCTGCGGTGGCAGGAAAAGGTGTCATGGAGCCAAATCAAGCACCCAAAGCCACTAACAAACAAACCCAGTTTTTGAAGGCGATCTGAAGTGTTCCAAAGGTAGCCTGTCTGGGAATGTAGTAGCCACCACGTTGATGACGTGTGTGTTCCTGGCGCTTCTTGGGAGCAGATCGTGGCACACGTCACTATCAGCCCACACAAGAGCTTCAACGTTGCAGATAGTTACTACACTTAGATATGAGAGGGACAACTGGGAAAATCTCAGCTGAATGACTTCAGTTAATTCATGAAAATCAGAACATGTTTCTAAATTTGTCACCAAGCTAAAAATGTGCCACCTATATGTGTGAAGTAACTGTATGTATCATCACAACCTGCATGCTTTAAAATAAAATCTCTCTACTTATGGGACTGAGATTCTTTGTATTTTCTGTCGTGTTATTGGTTTACTCTCACATGCACTTTCTTAAAATATTCACTCTAATTGCCAGTGTGTTTTTTTTAAATGCCTTTTTAAAGGTTCCAAGGAGTGTTGTTAGATGCCAAAAGAAAGGCTAATTCAGTTTTAAATGGAGAAAAATAGAGTAGGGTGGGAGCTCTCTGAAGCACAGTTACTGAACATGGGAAGAACATAAAGTTTTGTGAGTGCTGTTCCATCACTTTATTATTAATGAAAATTTTAATTTGAAAACTTTTTGGCATTGTGTAATTTCTGTTGAAAATTGGATTCTTGTACAGATGTCAGTGCTCTTAAAAACTATTAGGACTGCTTACATAATGCACACTATAAAGAGGGCTGGCAATGTTTTGGCCATCAGCATAAAAATAATCCTGCAATAGAAATATTTTGGGACTTTGATTGATAATGGTTGAGGTCTGGAGTGGTCTTCCCCAACCTCCTAGTCTGTGCCTTTGTACTGCTGATGGTTTCAGTTAAGTGTTATAAAATAGAACTGTGTGAAGATGATGGAGAGAGTTTAGCTCAAAACCAATAAAGTGTCTTAACATTTACTCAGTGTAAGGGAATCATTGATTCTAAATAATTCTGCAGAGGGAATGAGAGCTTGTAGGCTGTCTGTGCAGCAGAATGTACAAAAAAATGGGTACAGACTTCCCAAGTGATGTATCCTTCTCCCCAACTGTGCTTATCCCACCCTGTTGCATTGTTCTTATAGCAGTGAATTGAAACATGCCTAAAAAGAGGCAATTAAGTATTCTAAGCACCTCCTCCCCTCAAAAAGCCACAAACCAAACGAAAACTAAAAAAAAAAAAATGTCAAATCTTTGTCTTTCTTTTAAGAAGGACGTGAAAATTAGGGATCTCAGCAGAGATTAATGGTTAGATTTCTGCATTATAATATGACATATTTTTGATGGGCATTTTGTAAGAGAGATGTAGAATTCATTAATCCTTTCCCCTTACTGTGAAAAGAGAAAGTTGTAAAGTGATTTGACCTTGGTTTGTCTCAGCTTCAACCTTTCTTTGCACATTTTAAACATGTTTATTTGTCACACCCTGTGGTGGTAAGCTTTTTTTAAAATTTTCCTTAATCTGAACTGTGACTTTGATGCAGGTTTTTGCCCTGCAATCATAGGCAGAAGCCTAGAGGACACTGAGCTCTCTTAAAATTCCTTCTCTGGAGTGCAGTAGATCCATGGGGAGTTGAAAATTCAGCAAACGTGTGGCAGTCAAATAATCCTCTCTGAGGTCACATTCTGCTGGGTTTTAACCATTAAGGTCAGGATGTCCAGTCCTGGGAGTAACAGCTGTGGCAACCTCCATAGCAACTGGGAAACACTGGCAGCAAAAGGCTCCCTGTGCCCAACAGGCAAAAGGGTGACATTTCTGCATTCAGACTAAATCCAAATGGTGTATTGTTACCAATAGCAGGTAAGTCTGAAATACTGTGCCAAAGTACTTGGAGTTACCCAGAAAAAGCAGCAAAATTGCCTTTGTCAATGCAGTGTTGTGTGTAGAAACAGAGTGAATGGTGCTAAAATGTGCTTTAATATAGAATTGGTACTTGCCTTTCTTTGCAAAGTATTACTGATTCTGTCTTGTTTTGGTTTAGAACAGGAGTTTGTGCAGTCGTGAAATAAATGGATATATTGTGCTGATTTTCTGACTTAAATTTAATTTTGCAGCAGTTAATCCATTCTTCTTGTTGGGTTTGCTGTGCTAGTTCTCTGAAATTATCTATCTATCTGGGAGTCTCCATAAACAAGACTTCCAGATCATATTTCTTAGATAAGAGACAAAATATCATCTAAACATGAGTGCTTAAACTGCATTTTGTAAAATAAATTAAGCACTTACATTTTATAGGTTGTTGAATTTCCATGCAAATGTTATCATAAGTATTTCTAAGCACTATTTAAAAAGAAAAAAAATTAATGGAAGCTTGTCTACTACATCTTTTGAAATTACCAGAGATAGCATCACATCATTGATCTTACTGTGACAGCCTCTGAATAGTTATCACTTGTCACATCTGAGCATCTCATTCTTTCTTGTTGCAAGCCATAATCCTACTGTTAATAAAACATGACAGGACAGCTGAAAGATCAAAATATTTCCTCTTAATACATCATTATAAATAAATAACAGGGAAATGTAATCTAACATCAAGTTCAAAACCTGTCACGTTTACTCAGCTTGTCAACTTCAGCTGTAATTTCTGTCTCAGCTTGTAAAACAGGGAAAGTTTGGCTGGGTCTGTGTACAAGAAAGCATTAGAGGAAGAATGTGTGTATAAGAAAAGAGAACTGGGTGTTACAGAGGGAAACAAATGTTGGAGGGAGGTGAAAGTTATTATTTTCCTGGAATTTTCGCAGCATTTTTAGTTTCCTTGAGTGTGTATATGCCCTTTTTCCAGGTTAGGATTTGGGTGAGTGAAGATCACTGAAGTCAGACATGTGGACTCATCTGGCCAAGTGCCAGTCTGAATATATTGAATTCAGTGTTTTTAAACAAAAATAAGCAATTAGTCAAAATTGCTGGCTTCTTGAGGTACACTGGACAGCACTTGCTTGTGTTAGGAATGCCAGTACATTGTCTCTTTTCTTCCAACAGCTCACGACCGAGTCCTGCAGGCAGCAGCTTTTCCAAGTATGGCTCGTTTGGAAGGGTCCCTGCCCAGGGGTCGCAAGTATTGCAGTGTGAGGCTGGCTTTGGACAAGTTTCCATGTTCCACTGTCATATCCACAGTTAATCCCTGCTGCAGGAGCTCTTTTGTTGTGTACCCTGCCTGGATCGCTGAGCACCTCACCCCCCAGAGGTAAAATCAAGTTCCTGTTTAAGTCTGTGATTTGTTTTTTGTTTATCTAAAAGGATAAACTAGGCTGGTGTGTCAGATTAATAAATTAGCAGCTTGAACATCATTTGAGCTTTCTCACCCCTGCACTGGCAGTTTTGTAGATGTATTAAGAAGCTATTTGCTACCTTGGCGATTATGAAGAGCAAAGCCTGAGTAAGCCTCCTATCAAAGAAACATTCCTTTAGTATTATTAGGATAAATAAAAGCATCTTGCATTAGTAGTCATCTTCCATGAAATGTAGCTAATGCTTTGTGACAGGGGATTATTTTCCCAGTTTTGAACTAGAAGCTGTCATTAGCCAGCAGCTCTTTTGTTTACTTCTCTGCTTTGCTGTTCCCTGAATGCTGCTGTAAACCATCAGCTTCAGCACTCTGGAGTGCACCTACGCTGTGCTCTGTGCTGCAGATGGATCTTTCCTCCTCAGCTGAAGGGTTGCATTGTCTTGCCAGCTGAACAGCAAAGGGGCTGGTGCAAATAATGCTGGCCCAGGAATCCAGCATGCTCCTGGCTCACTTCCTGTAAACCCCAAAGCAAAGAGATCTGAGTAAAAGCAGGCACTGATGTGTTTTTCCCAAGATCAAAGAATTATCCCAGAACAAGCCAAGTTTTCTGTTTCTTCCCACACTATTTGGCCTGTGGGAGTGCTACAAAATGAGGTGGAGTGTTCCAGTTCTTATACCTTACGAGATTTTTTTTTTTTTTCATGACCTACAGAATCTATTTCTTTCAGGGCTGACCCATTTTCTTTTCTTCAAGATGCCAGTGGATCAGCCACTGCCTCCCCTCCCCTGGCCCAGCATGGAAGAGCCTGGGAGAATCAGGGGGCACAGACAGCAACGTGCCTGTGCTGGCTAGAGGGGAACAAGATGGATTTTATTACCGTGGTACAGTAAAAGAGGAGATAGAGGTGAGTGATGGCTGCTGTGTGGTAGCTGGGAGCATGTGTAACAGGGAGCAGTCCTCACACACCACCTGAGTTCAGTTTAGTAGTTTTTGGTTCTTCAGTGTAGCAGTTTTTGGTTCAGCTGATGAGATTAGAGAACAGATCACCAGGACAGCAGGTGCTTGAGCAGCCTTGTGCTGGTGCTGGGCACCAAGCCAGGCTCAGGCAGCCTGAGTGCTGCTGCCAGCAGTGTAGGGGCTGCTGTTGTGTGTAGACACAGAACCATCAATAGCACAGGAAAAGGGTTTGTGTTTTATGTACACATGTCCAGCTTGAGTCAGCCACAGACCAGGCTTAGGGTCTTTCCAGAAAGGGTAGTGAAAGCTTTAATTCTTTGGTTTGTTAGCACTTCAAACTTAATACAAAAAAGGAACCTGTTCTTTCTCAAAAACAGGGAAGTACCTCATCTCATTGTTGATGGAAAGCCTCTTGACAGGCCTTAATAGAAAAGAAAATAAAAATTCTCAACAACCCCCCAGGAAGCAGAGCTAGTATTGTATGTAATGAGGAAGGACTTGGGCATGAGTGATGAACAGGTCTGAATGGCTTCAGTGTCCCTTGTTCCTTGGCACACAGAGCATGGCTTGTGAAATACACTTGTCTATAGCTTTTTCTCTTGGGAAAGAAAATACAGATCCTAGTGGCAGTGAATCTGAACATATGCTTCACTCATCTTGCTTTCAGCTGAACCTCATGGAGGTTTTTTGGGCAGTCTCAATGCTGAGGTAATACCACACGCCCTAGCTGCTGTTCAGGCTTGTTTTGCCCTAGTCATAAAGGCACAGGATAGTCTCCTAGCAAAAGTTGTATTACCTGGCACATTATTGACTGTTTTTCAGTGGAATTGTTATTTTGTTCCTGGTGACAGAGTGAAAGAGACATGTTCCTGGTAGAGTTTGCCAAACCACTTGTATCACGTGGGAAGCATCCAGTGCATGTGCAAAAAACAGCAAAGGATGACATCCTGGAATATGTGAATGGGATGAAGCACTCCTTGCTCCCTGGAGACAGAGTGCTGGCACCCTGGGAGCCAGATAGGGCCAGGTATGGCCCAGGAACTGTTCTCAGAGGCATTGAGACAAGGGATCCCTTAAGAGTTAAGAAAAGGGGTTGCTGTCTTGCTCCTCTGGAATGCCGGTGAGGATAAACTCCTATCAGGATGCTGCTGCCAGAGAAATTACAGAGCACAGACTACAGCTTAGTGTTGCTCCAAGCTTGCAGGAGCTGATGGACATCTGTGTGTAACCTCACCAGTGTGACCCTAAGGAAGCTGTGACCCATAACAATGTCATCATCTTTGTCCATGGGTATAGCTGGGACATGTAGCTGCCATGTGCAGGACTGTGGCCTTTTCATGACAGATACAAGTAAGACAACTTCCAGGAAGCATTCATCTGAGCCTAAATGCTCACATTCGTACCAAATGGTCCATCTGGGGGTGATTTCATCACCCACATATAGGAGATTTCAACAGCTCATTCGTTTTTCCTGTGTCTGACAGTCAAGCTGACTTACCAAAACACTATTCTCAGAGCAGTACTGCTAAATTTGCCAGCAACAACAAAAATTACTGTCATCATTTTCTTGTTCATCTGATGACAAATTGGGTGGAAGGATGCTGCCAGGCCTCTTGTTTTAGTGCTGGTGTCCAGGCTGCCCACTCACCTCTGTGACACTGTGGTGAGATGTTCGAGGGGTCAAGAGCTGATCCTGCCTCTTGACAGGAGTAGAAAGTGCATAATGCTGTAAAGCCTGATCTGTGTGCACTGCCCAGGCAGGCCAGCTGCTTAAGGCTGCTTGCTTTTTCTCTTAACAGCCTCAGAAGATGAAGAAGTTACTGTCCAGTTCTGGAATGACAAGCAAGTGAAACTCCCCTGTGGTGTGGCCCTGTGGATCCCTCCTAGCCTATGGGAAAGGATTGTGGAGATGATCCACATGCCCTTCACCAGCAGGGTGAAGCCCAGACCAAGCCAGGACTCTAACTCTTGTATTCTTCCCTGCAGTCCTAAGGCAGCCCTGATTCCTGTTTGTGCTCTATGCAGCCTTGCCAAGCACTGCTTGCTCTGCTCTCCCTGCTGGCCACATTTCCACCACCACTGTGCTGGTTCATCAGCCTGGGTAAGGTGTATCTGCTGCTGCCACCCCTGTGCTGGTGCCTGGTGGCCTCTTCCCTCCAGGGCTCTGGTCTTTCAGGACAAAGCTGAAGAGGCAGAATCCAGCAGTGAGCTCTCTCCAGGCCTTCTAGAACTGAAAGGCACAAAACAAGGAGAAGCTGCAGCTGTGGCAACATCTTCTCCCTCTTCTGATGCAGAGAGGGACCTGAAGCTATCCCCCACTAAGAGTACTGTGGGGGACAGTGCTGTTAACACAGGCTCCAGCTGTCTTGAAAAGCCCAGGCTAAAGAATTCTACAAGGCCTGAGGGGAAGTACTGGAAAAGAAGCCACCACAAGTCCCATTCCAGTAATTCAGGTACCTTCAAACAACCCCACAGGGAAGCACCTGTCAGAGGGAACAAAACCAAAAGTCTTCTGGGCAGGGCAGTCACTTTGCCTGCAGGTTATTGGTATTAATACTGTAAATTTGCATATCAGACTCTGATGCAATTCTTCCCACTCCTCAGTGTTTCTGCTGCCTCATCTGGCTCTTCTTTTGGCCACTCATCCCATGGAAAACTACCAGAACAATTAATTTCATTTGGAAGCACAGACATTTCTCTCTGTTTCCTGTCATTTTCCTATGCCTTTTATGATGGTAACATCTTCTTTAACCTGCATAGCTCATCTATTCAGTATAACCTGAAAGTATTCCTTTCAGGCTTAAAGTGCATTCTCCTCTCTTCTGAAATGAATGTTTCTTCATTTCAGTTCTGGTTTCACTCTTACATACAATTTTACTCCTCCCCAGGACCTGGAAGTTGTAGCAGCTCATGTACAAAGGGCCACCTGGAATCCAAAGCCATCTCCAGTGGGGACATGTCCAGTGTGGCCCCAGCTCAGCAGAGTGCAATGTTTGAAACCATCAGGCAGACTCTCAGAGGGCAACTCACACTGAAAAAAATCCTAAGAGACCAAGATTTCAAGCCATCATTGAGGGTAAGATAATCTGTATTAATTCTGTAGCTATGTAAGCAGGAGGTTTGTTTGAATGGGAAAAAAAATTTCCTTGTAAATGGTTTGGAACCTGTCAAGAAAAATTACATTGTTTGTAACTGCTTCCTGAGGCCACCCACCAGTTTTGTGATAGGTAGGAAAGTTCTCCACTAATAAAACCAAAACAAAAATCCCCAAGCCTTAAGGAAGGGCTGAAGCTACTTAGTAAAATGGAAATAATTGTCAGTAGGCACGTGAGCATTCAATAATTCAGATTTCAATTCAGAAACTTGCTAAATGCCCGTTGACATCTACCCAAAGTTCTATGTTAAATCCATGGAAAGGTGCTGAGCTCTGTCTATCAAATTGTGATAGTCACAATTTCTGTCTCTGAGAGATAAAAGCAGATTTTTTTTAGTAAACAGTCTTTGCTGAGTTTCTTCTCTTCCTCAGTAGAGGCAAGCAGATTAAACAGCAGATTCTGCTGTGAAGCTGGGGGATACAGAGTAAGCAAACTGTGTCACAGCTAGGAACAACAGTACTACCCTGGTTTTTAGGCCTGGTTTCCCTCATGCTTTAGAAAAACTTGAAAAAAAAAAATCGGAACCTGAATGCTAAAAAAAGCAAACACAGAAATGAGGAAGAAAAAACTTACAGGAAGAAGGGGAAGATGAAAGAGAATATCAGGATGAACAGTGCTCTGCACAAGAGCATCAGGGTAGAATTAATAAATTACATTCACGAAATGAAATATTAGCTTCTCTGTACCTTCATGCTCTTGCTACTCTGAGCTGACTGCAAGGTAAAACTTAAAATGTACTAAACTTGCATGTTTAGAGATAAATCCATTAATAACATGTCTTGGTGAACAGAGAATATACAGGAATACATCTTGTATTCTTACAATTGTACTCATTCATTTTAAGCAGATGCCAACTTATCAACTGTATGGTTCCTACTTTCTATTTCTGTTCTACTTTATTGTTCAAATACTCATAGTTACATAACTACACACCTTTGTAATTGATTTCCTAGGAATTTTCAGGCCAGTATGGAGCTCCAGGCAGGCATGCTCTACGTTAGCAGTGTCAGAGCTGTGCACTGAAGTGACATGAGTTGCCTTTTGGTAAAACTAATAAGAAAACAGAATTGTTTCGTTCCAGCCCCAAAGCAGCAGCATGAAAAACAGTAGTGGATGCAATGTGGTAATACAGGGTATAATGACAGAGTTTTATTCCTGTAAAATAGCCCTTGGTGATTTTAAACCCAGAAAATCCATTGCTACTCAGAGATAGCTGAAGCAGTTTTATCACATGATGCAGGCTGCATCAGAAATGGCTTGCAGCAAACAAGTGGAGTTAGAGGACAGACTTCCCAGAGGTACTCTCTGGGGGGCTGATGTCCCCTCACTGCAGTCAACAAAATCCTCCTGACTTCTGAAGTAGAAAAGTTTTTAATTAAAGCCTAGCAGCTTCTGAAAATCCTTTGCTCTTGCTGTCCAGCTGTGTGTTTCAGCAGTAAAGTTTGTGCTAGCACAGAAAATAGACCAGTATTAAAACTATGTGAGGCAGAGGTGCAGCAGTTAACAAAGACACTGATGCTTTTTTTAAACCAGACTTCTGAGGGATTTGTTTTCTGTCCTCCAGGAAGAAAGCTTTGCAGCATCAGAAGAACAAAGATACAAAGCAGCATCAGATGATAAATGTAAAGTGACTTCTGTTGGAGATGACAAACCTGATGTTACAGACCCTGTCAGAGCTCACTTGCAGCAAAGCAGAGAGAGACATGATCAACTAGAATCCAGTACATGTACAACTGATCGAGTTCAGGGGCTGAAATTTCAGGTAAACTGCTTCTACTCTATCAGTGTTATATTTTTTTAAAAAATCAAGTTCTGCTTTAGGTACTGTCTCAGTAGAGTATTTTTATGGATGAAAATATAATTTTAATAAGTGAGAAACTCTACTTTCACCCACATTAAACTTGAGCATCCTCATTCTTTATTCCAAAGTGCTACAATAAATTCCTAACTATTTGGACTTGACTTTACAGTTCTGGAGAGATCAGATGTGCTAGTAGGAGCACTAAAAGCCTGAAAGCCTGAACAGATGCACAGCAAGAGTCCAATAAACCTCCCTTGTCTACAGTTCTCTGGAGTGAGCCACAGAAATTCAGCAAAGCAATTTCTGTTTGTAGAAAGCCAGGAGGAATGGAGAAACAATACAAGCTGACAGCTGAAAGATTTTTTGGGGGGTACTAAAGCAGAAGCAAAAGTAGCCAGAGGCTAAAGGACCTGCTACTGTAGATGCAAACAACAAAATGATTAGCATTCAAGCCACTGATTTTTATATTCTGATGAAAATGAACAGAAACCTTAATACTATCAGCTACAAAAAGATGACAGATGTATTTAGATCACATCACTAATTCCAAACATGGAATCTAGTCCTTTGGCAAAGTTAAGCATCCAGGGAGTTAGTGGGACTGCTCATGTTTAAAGCATATGATCTTGGCCATAGCTGCAGTGTGCAGTTGCTCAGCAGTAAATTGGATAATTTAGGGTACGCCACAACCCCCAAAAAAGGGGTTTAGCATGGTCTGCAAAAAGCCAGAACCTGAATCAATAGCTCATGTGCCTAGACTGAACACCTGACATATTTCAGCACGTTTCTGAGTTGGGGCTCTAGGTAGTGAATTTAATTTGCATTTCATTTCTTTACCAGACTAGCAAAAGTACCAACAGGAGAGTGGCTTGTGAGCCAGCTGCTCTAAAATCAGTGCCAGCCTACAGAAGCTAATGTACACCCAATATCCACACCACATGGATCATGCTCTCTCTGGTCTACACTGTGACATGGGGTTCTCTCTGAGGATCATAGGCTGTCATCACAGAGGCTTGATCATATATTTTATTCCACTGATTGTATCTTTAATTGCTTAGAGCAGAAGAATCTGGAATTACACAGTCACATAACTGGATTTAAAAGGCACACAATGTACAAATATATATAAAAATCAATGTACAAAGTGGGCTGCATATAATTGCATTAACTAGAAAACAAATGTACAGGCTATAAAAATGGAGTCCCAAAGAGGAAGCTACTATTAAAGTGCTAACAAGAAAAGATATTTATAGCTCATTACACACATTAAAAAGAGCCTCATGTTTTATTCCTGCTATTGCCAGGAAACAACAAACATCACAGAACAAAAGTTAAATCAACACTTTGTCCTGCACTGACATTTACTACATGGGTGTGTTCCACCATGTCTTCTGAGATTGCTGTGACAGAATAGATACCAGGAGAAACTTCAATGTAGAAATCTTTGGAAGGTCTTCTGGGCTTTAAGGGAAAAAAAGGAAAAAAAAAATAAAAAGAAGAAAAGCTATGTTATTGGTTACTTATCTTAGCTTTCCAAAAAAAAAAAAAAAAAGTGTTTGGGTAAAAAAATTACATTTCAGCTGCTATATAAATATAATAAGACTTTTCTAAATACATGGAAGGCAGTGCAAGCAAAACTGTAAAATGTTTCTGTCAGTACAAAAATTAGCAAGTGCCATACTCAAAGCATTTTTAGCTAATGTTTCAACCAGTGGAAGTAATCACTGTGCTGTAATTTATGCTGTTTCTCATCTTTTGTGGCGGAGAAGTTCCTGAAGTTGTTTTGTTGAGGTGTTAGGCTTTGAAAAATAAATTCAGTTTTCTTCTCCTTGAGGAACAGGAGTCTTCAGGGAGCCTGTGGAAGGGCCAAGGGCAAGAATGCCACAATCTGGTTTCTAACTAATTGTGCAAGTCTCTGTATGCCCATTTGACTGCCTATACATATATTCTGATTTTGAATGCACCATTGGTAAATCTTCTGTGCCATCAAGGTCTCCAGATCTGTCACAGTTTGTAACCAGCTTGATTCAAAACGATAAAAGAAATGCTAGCAAATACTTCAACTTAAAACCAAAGTATTCTGTACACTTACTCTTTGCTGGCAAGCTTGAGCTTGCCTGGCTTCCACAGGACCTTCAGTCCCCTGGAAAGAAAAAGAGAATTATTTTTTAATGATCCAGCACACAAAGCAAATCCAGGCCAAGAGAAGGGAAGCTTTTAGGTGCATGAAGTTTTTCCCTTCACAAAAGGATGGATAGGACACTGATCAGTGCCACAAGAAGTGACTCTGCCTTCCCCAACCCAACACAGGCTTGGATCAGTCCAGGTGTTCTTATGTCATAAGGTCAACCTACATACATGAGTGTGAGTGCCACAGACATCAGGTGGATGACAAGTGCCCCACAGCAAGGGAAGGAGCAACCTTTCATCAAAACCAGAAGTCCCTACTTACCTCTTCTTCTATGGAATCCATCTTTCTTTCTACTGACTTGCCATGGTATTTGCAGAGGTGTTTGATTTCATTCTCTTTGCACTTGTTGGCTGCCATAGACCCATAGCACTTCTGGACAGCAACAGAAACAGAAAATATCATGTAGGAGATACCAAACCATACTTGCAGCCACTGCAGATTTAAAATTGAAAGTAGAACTACACAGATAGTGATGGTGTGCACTAATTGGCTGGTTTATTCTCTGTGAGGGTGAGAACAATGCCTGTATCTCCAAAGGCCACCTGCCTTCTGCTACAGGACTCTCTCACAGGCTTGATTTTAGATGCCTGCTTCCTAACACAATATGTATGGCAGGGACACTGACACATCAGAACTGAATTCATGAAAATGTCAGAAGGAATACTCTGGAAATGCCTGCCTGTTCAGGCTGGTCAAGAAAAGCCGTGGTGGAAGAAGGCATAGTTTATGGGTCCTTAAGAGGACATGTATGCAAGCCAGGTGCTCTTCAACCCAGTCAGTGAAGATGGGTTCTGCAGGGCATGTGCAGCAGCAGTGCTCTAAAAGCAGAATATGTTAATAATGAAAAATGAGTCAGTAAAGAAGCTGAAGTGTCTTCAAGGCTGGGACTATTTTCACAGCAGTTTTGAGAAGTGTATTTAAGCACACAGCAGCCTTCTTCTGGTTCCACTGCAGATGTACTAGCATCTTCCCCACTGCAAATTAAACTCTTGAGTACAGTTCTGCTGCCATCTGTTGTCACCACAGAGCTCCTCCCAAGGTTACCTTGTTGATCACAGGGACCAAAAAGATCCAAAATATCTCTTATTTCACTGGTGTTTTACAAAAATAAGGCAAATAGCAATTCTTACTTCCAAATCTACTGCTGTGCTTTATTCCTTGAGTTTATGCTCAAATCAACAGCTCTGGTTGCTTGTATTGCAGTATTTGTGAAACTACAAATATATCAGATACTCTGACCTGGTGCATAATGCTTCACAGAGCATCTCTTTTGCATGATGGTACAGAGCAAAGAAATTAAATCCAACTTTTGGTGAGAAATGGGTAAATTTTAATCCCTTAGTAACCCTTAACATCTCATCTTAAACTACAAGTTTGTTTGCATTCAAGTGCCTAAATGGTTGTGTTCAGCTGTGGATTTTTATTTGCACTTTGTAAAACTTAGCCATGAACTTGTGGGTCTGACATTTTCCCCCTTTAATGACTCTTCTTTTCTACAGAAGTGACTGAAGCCTAAATGTGGAAGTCATCCATTGCTTGTTCCAACTTTAATACTCTTAACAGAGCACAAGATAGACCCACAGAATAATTTAGGTTGGAAGGCACCCTTAGGATCAGAGTCCAACTGTAAACCTAGTACTGCCAAGTCACTGGTAAGGATGAGCCTCACTACACTTTGTAAAATTCTATTCTGCCCCAGTTTTAGAATTAACTGGTTACTGTGAGTGTAGTACTTTGAAATTATAAAGGATTCCTTAAGAACTAATCACTTGGTGTGCTGAAGTACTATTTTCTCTAATTTAATTGCAGATTTGGGCTCTGTATTAGCTCTGCAGGCAGTGATCTCTCTGCTGTGTTAGGATAACAGTTCCCTCAGGGCACAAACTGAATGGAGTTCTCAGAGACTTCAGTGCAGTAGCTGGGCTGCAGGGCTGTGCTCACAAGGCTGGCTCCCAATCAGCCCACCCAGCAGAGCAGTGACACCTGCCAGCCAGAGCCAGTGCAAGAACAGCGGAGCTGTGCACCTGTACACCAAACCTCTCAATTTCAGCTCATCACACACAAAGAGCTGAGCCCACACTCCTTACGCAGTAGCAACATCCCAAATCCAGTTTGGCCTGGTTTTGTCTGGGATAGGGCAAGCTTTCCTCCTAGTAGTTGGCAGAGTGCTGTGTTTTGGATTTAGTAGGAGCACAGTGTCGATAACAAACTGATGTTTTGGTTATTGCTGAGTAGTGCTCACCCTAAGCCAAGGACTGTTTTCATGCTCTGCCAGTGGGGAGGTGTAGAAAGTGCCAGGAGGGAGCAGGGCTGTGACAGCTGACCCAAACTAGCCAAAAGGAAATTCCATCCCATAGAATGTCATGTATATAAACAGGGAGAGTTGTCTGGGGACTGCCTGGGCAATGGTCAGTGAGTGGCGAGCAACTGTATTGTGCATTACGTGTTCTTCTCAGGTTTTATTTCTCTGTCCTCTTTTCATCACAATTATTACTGTTATTACTGTTGGTATTATCATATTTTTCTTTGTTTCAATCAATAAACTGTTCTTATCTCAACCCACGAGTTTTATTTTCTCCAGATTCTCCTCCCCATCCTGCCAGGGGAGGTGGGCAGGGAGGGAGTGAGCTGTATGATACTAAGTTGCTGGTGGGGTTAAATCACAGCAGCAAGACTAAATTCAAAACAAACACAGGACACAAGGCATCTCTTCACTCGAGATTCAAACTCTCCCTTATTTCCAGCACCCAGACTGGATATCAGCCAGCACGAGAGGTTCAATAACAACAAAAGGTTACTATGTCATAAGGCCATTTCCCAGCAGAGGTACTGAGTACAGAGCACTGGAAACATTCCTTACCTTGTGACACAATGTATTTTGTGATGCCACCTGACATTTCTGCCCCTCTAGCCATACTGCGTTTCCACCATGAAATGGAAAAACCTTCTGCTAAAATCTGCACCGAACTACTGGTGCTCTCTATAGAAAATACGGATAGTGGTGATGCTGAATGCCCCAAATGTTCTCACCTCGGCCGGCACCAGGCTCACTGGCTATACAATGAGCAAACCCTGAAGCCTCATTTTTGCAGTAGAAGTGGTGAGGCCTCTGGCAGGCACATTCCCCTCACCTCGCATTCCTCTGAGACTCCTCTCATCAAATTCACAATCGACGCGAACGCTGCATTGAGGCGTTCCCGGTCTCGGTCCTGCAACGAAAGACATTCCTGGTCATTCCGCCCGCCGCTTAGAGCACGAGGGTGGCGGGGCACCGAGCCGCGGAGCCCCGGTCACCGTCTCGGGGGCACCGGGCGGGGCGGGTAGCTGAGCCCCGAACGGAGATGTGTTTCCGTGCATCTCCATCGCTATCTGTATCTGTGTGTGCGTGTCCCGGCGGGCCCGCGGCCCGTACGGAGAGGTATCCCGTGTATCTATCTCCGCGCATCTCCATCGCTCTCTGTATCTGTGTGTGCGGGCCCGCGGGTGCGCGCACGGCACTGACCGGGGCCGCGCCCGCCGCGCGCCGCCGCGCCCGCTCCAGCACGTCTCGCGCCATGCTCGCCGTGCGTCCCGCGCGCGCCGCCGCCATCCCGCCCCTGCCGCCGCCGCCGCCGCCGCACTGCGCACGCGCCGCCGCCATCCCGCCCCGGCCCCGCCCTCAGCCCGGCGCGGCCGGGGTCACCGGGGCAGTTCCCGCCGGGATGCGGCCCCGCGGAGGGCACGGGTGGCCTTGTTTGTCCCTTACACCCGCGCTCTGCCCTGCGGTAACGCAGGACAGGCGCGTCCGGACGGGCGTTCCCGGAAAGGGTCAGTGAGGTGCCCCCGGATGCCGCTCCCCGCATGTCGCCGCCTTGCGACAGCGGGAAAGAGCCCCTAAGAGCCGGAGGTGCGAGCCCCGCCGTGCTCCCTAGGTGGAAGCGGTGCTCTCCGCTGCCTTTAGGTTACCGTTCCGCGGCACGGGCTCCCGGTGCCGGTAGGGGGCGGTGGCCGGCCGAGTGCCGCGGCTGTGGGCGCCGGGCAGGGCTGCGCGCCCGCTCCCCCAGGGGCGGTGAGAGAGCCCGCGCGGCGCTTGGGCCTGCCAGCAGCGGTGGCCGAACCGGCCGGTTCTCCCCGAACCAGCCGGCTCTGTCCCGGGAGCAGCATTGGCCGAACCAGCCGGCTCTGTCCCGGGAGCAGCATTGGCCGAACCAGCCGGCTCTGTCCCGGGAGCAGCATTGGCCGAACCAGCCGGCTCTGTCCCGGGAGCAGCATTGCCCGAACCAGCCGGTTCTCCCCGAGGGAGCCGGCTCTGTCCCGGGAGCAGCATTGGCCGAACCAGCCGGTTCTCCCCGAGGGAGCCGGCTCTGTCCCGGGAGGGCAGCGCCAGGCTGCGGTCACTGCTCGCAGTCACCGCAGCGGCTTGGGAAGTGGCTGTGACTACGTGGGAGTAGAGCCCCTTCGAGCCTTCGCCAAGCTCATGTGCACCGAGGTGACAGTAGTAAGGAAAAATAAGCATAAGAACTTTCTTTAAGTCCCATATGGCCAAGGATAACATGGAGACCCTGATCCTTCAAGTCCTTCATTCTTGTTGAGAGCTTTGCTAGCTGTAATGTCTTTGACAAGCAAGAAAAATAATCCTCTCCTAGTTTACATTTTGTTGTCATCCCCCAGTTGCTTAAGCAGAGCAGCAGCCAGCCCCCGCAATAAACAAGCCCTTCACAGGCTGCTTGCTCATTAAGACATTGAAAGCCCCCATTCAGTGTTCAAATCCAGCTTAACTTTAAGTTTGGTCTCCTGTACTCCAAAGAAAATTTAGGCAAATTGCTGGAGTGCTTGAGATCTGGGGAACTGAATGCAACATAAAGTGGGGAGAAAAACAATGTTTGATAAAAGCAATGTTAGTGTGTTTGATGTGGTGGAGAAGCAGCCAGAACAGACTGCTTCCTGCATAATTGGAAGCTGAACATCTTTGCATCATGCTTGTTAGCAATGGTCTCCTGGAGAGGTGAGTGGGCTTGCTATGTTGCTGCTCATGTGAAATAGGCTTGAAATAGATTCCTGTGTAATTTCATAACACGGAGAGAAAACTGTGTTCATTTTTTATTCCTGCCAGGTACTTGTAGCAGTAGCTTGTTGTTCAGGAGGTAAATTATTCCTGTTGTGTTGAAATTTAAACTCCCACCATTTTTTGATGTTTGGTGACACAGTACTCGTATTGCAGCTGAGTAAATACATCTGTCCCAAGAAGGCTGACAACTGAAATATCTTTTGTTTTGAAACACACATTCACATCATAATCCAGATGAGAGTTACCCTTATTTCCTGTACATTCATTCTTTTGAAATATAATGGAGGTTTGTGAAATGCTGAGCATTTCCACCAGATTCCTCTTTGTGTGGGATGATAGATCAGAATATCTGAAGACAATGTATTTCATTTTACTGGTGAGGTGGCAAAAGCCAGGAATAGTTTATCCTGAGCACAATGAATTTCATTTTACTGGTGAGGTGGCAAAAGCCAGGAATAGTTTATCCTGAGCACTTGTTTCTGGGCTCAGGGAAGTATCCTTGAGTAGGAAAGCTCGTAAACATTTGCCTGATGCTGAACACTATTTCACTTCCATTTCAGTCAAAGGAAAGAAAGTAAGTGCTTAGAAGTTCCAGAAATGCGTAGTGCTGGAATTTGTATTTCAAACTGCAGAATACACGCTGCTCTTTATTTTTCTTCTGTACCTAGAATAATTTGGTTAATCTATTGTGAAGTGACTTGTTTTATCAATGTCCACATAACACTTCAAGATCTAGGAGCACTCTCTGTATTTTGCAAAACTCATGGTCCTGATAAAAGCTAGCATCCTGCCTCTTCTGTATTATTTTATATCAAACGTTTTGGGTGCGTTTCTCATCTGCCAAACCATCAGAAGCTGGTGTGCCAGGGAGGTGGCCCGCACAATGCTGTTGGTGGCCTGCACAGTGTTCCACGCAGGGACTTTCTTTACCCCAGGGAACCCTGGCTGGGCCGTGCCAGCGAGCGGGACGCTCGGGCTGCCCAGGGAGCTGAGCATTCCACATTGCTGCCAGAAGCTGCTCCCGGGAGGCTGCATCCCAATCCAAGGAACCCGGCACGAAGTGCAGGGGCACGCCGCTGCCTCCCTCGTCCTCCGCAGGTGCTGTTAGTGGAGCACTACCCCGCGGAGCTCGGAAAGGCCCGGGCGCTCCCTGGTTCGCAGCTCCCTGATCCTTATGGGAGCCATCTGCCCCGCGCCTGGCGCAGGAAGCGCGCCTCCCGCACTCCTCCTCCCTTCCGCTCTGCCCCGCAAGCGGCTCTGTCCCGAGAGGAGCCCAGCGCTCGGAGTGTTTTAAATAAAGACCAAGCGGCATCGCCCCTCCGGGCTAGAGCGAGGAGGAAGGCTGTCAGTCGGGGGGCTCGGTCCTCTCCTCCTGTGCCCATCGCATCTCCCCGCGGACCAGCCGGCCCTGCCTCTCTTGCTCCCCTCCCTCACGCCTGTCCGGGACCCGGGTTTGGGGCTGGGGGAGGCGTTGCCCACCCCTCCGCGGGGCCGGGGCGAGTGCTGCCGGCGGGAGCGGTGGCTCGGCAGCCCGGGGCTGCAGCCCGGGCCGGGCTGCGCTGCGCTGGGGAGCAGGTTTCTTTGTTGGCTGCCGGGTGACTGGTTCCCATTAATCTCCCGCACTGGTCGTGGCCGTCTCCACTTCCTGCCTTTGCATACTTCTCTCTCCCTCGATCTCAGTCCCTTCCCACCCCCTTCCCTCCCCCCTTTCTTTCCCTCTTCCCAGCTTCTCCAAAAAAACTACAATCGCCCGGTCTGCGGGACGGGGGCTGCAGGCGGCCGGCGGAGGGAGCGCATCCCTGCGCACCTCGGTAAGGGCCGGGGAGGCGCGCTGCCGGGCGGTGGTCGCCTCGGGGGACCCGGGCAGGGGAGCGGGGCTGGGGGGAGAAACGATTGCTCGTGCTCCGGGTGGCCGTCCCTGCGCGCCGAGAGCCTCCCGCGAGCGGGGCGGGCCGGGGATGCGCGGCGGCGGCAGCGGCGGGCGGCGGGGGCTCACCGGGAGCTGCGGCTCCCCGGACCGAGGAGCCCCCGCGGCAGCGGAGCCGCCAGAGGCCGTGCCGATGCGGGCCGGCCCCGCAATCCTGGCGGGACCCTGCCCTGCCCCGGGGGAGCGCAGATGGGCGGGGGTCCTGGCGCACGGGCGGAACGGGGACTCGGTTCTCCCGCGCTGGTGCCGCCGCCGTGCCGCGCGGGACGCTGCTTTTTGCGAGGGTGGCGAGGGCAGAAGCACCGAGGAGGGACAGAGCCTGCAGAGGGACAGAGCCCCCGGGACCACTTCGGCCGGACCGGGGTAACTCCAATCCGGCTGGGGAGCCAGCGCGCCGAGCGTGGAGCTCTGAGCTGGGGGAGACGGGGACCTGCGGCACTTCCCTTCCAATGCCCACTCGCATCGTCTGTCCAGCCGGCTGCGGTGTTTGCGTGCGTGCTGAAAAATGTAGAGGAGCCATCTGGACTCCGGTGGAAGACTTTAGGATCCCAGGACAGATTTGGCTGAAGAGCTAAGGGAGTTCTGCCGCAGTTCACTTGGTGGGAAAATCAGATGTCCTGCTCTTGGCTTGGTACCAAACGTTTGCATTACTAAGGTCACTGCAATCAAAGAGTAGCGGTTACATGCGAGAGAGCCTTCTTGTGTTTACTCCAGTTTTGTCACTCAAATGTACTTCGAATTTAGTAGTCAAGCTGAATGAAGCCGAGTGCATAGTATTACTGCATGGAGTATGTCAGTAGTAGTGTTTTTTACACTCTGCACTGACTTGGGGAATCGGTTTTCTTTCATTTTTATGGTGGCTAGTCAGACTTAACTTCAGGTATATATATTAAATAATCTAATAAAATTGGAGTGATCCAAACCCATGGAAGATGAAGGATGAAACTGTTAGTTGTAGTCTGGTTTTTGATCATAGGATGAATTGAAGTGAGGTTGATTTGCCTTTAAGACTTAAGAATGTTTTGTTTATACATGATTAATTTATAGTTGGTGGATGAAAACTTCCATATAGTGGAAGGGTAAGTTAAGAGGGCAAAAGTAGGAGTATCATGCATTTAAGGTGAGGTTTGAGGAAACAATTTATATTTTAGGAGCACCAAAATTTAACTTACATTGTGGTGATCAGGTTATGCAGGTGACATAGTGGAAATCTGTTACCACATTGACATATAAGAGTAAGATTTATGGGTTTGACCATTCATTTCCCTCTTACTTTAAGATTTGTTATTTAAAATAAAATAACCAAATAATTAAAATAAAATGCAACACATTTATAGCAATGGTGATGACTTTATCGAGTTACTCAGGAGTGTAGTCAAACATCTTTTAAAGTTAGCTATAGTGCACTGGACTGACCGGACTGACGTGGAACTGTTACCTTGCTTCTGGGATGGAACCAGTATCCTCAAGAGTATGGAGTGAGGAAAGAGGCTTTTGGGACAGGTTGGCAGGGATGGAGGTGCTGGGCTTCACTGGGGCATGAAAGACTGTCCTGCTCCTAGAAGGATGTAGCATGTGTTCTCCTCTTGTGTGCAGAAATAAGAGCCCTGGCCTGGCCTGGCTTTCTGCTGCTCCCTTCAGGGTGCTAAACTCCCCCAGCCAGCTTGTGTGGCGTAGTCACTGCCCTTCTGGCTCAGGGGGAGAGGTGCCTTCTGTCCTCTCCTACCCCTGCAGCATGTTTGTGCTGTGGCTGCCAGAATGTGCTCCAAGAAGCTTAGGATCAAGCATTGCTCTTTCCCTTTAAGCAAGTGCCTTCATGTACACTGCAGCTCTTTAAGGAGTGTGTGACCCCTTATTATTGGTGACCCTGTAAACCATTGTGTAATCTGTTGACTGTAACATACCATGCCAATTTATTCTTGGTTGGGAAGTCTTGCCAAGGACTTGATGGAATAGCATGATTTTGTCCACTTTATTGTTTTCATTGTGTTTCATAAACATCTAAGACCCTCTGGGAAGAATCACTGGGGCGGCTGGGCCTCCTTTTTTTAATTGCTGGTTAAATAAATGTTGCCAGTTTAAAAAAAATTAAAGTGGTATGCAGGATCTCAGAATGCCTGGAACTGCTAAACACTCATGTTTAGGAAGCAGGACTATTTTTAGTGTAGGGGCATTTAAAGAAATGATACAAGCCCCTTGTGAAGAGGTCACTGTGAAGTACACTGAAGAGCCTGCTTTTAACTGGAAAGTAAACCCAAGTTTCCCACAGCTGAGTAAAGCAAAAGAACCAGA